AATTAGGTTTCATATTTGGCTTTAAAACCTATTTGATATTGTAGTAGAGATGTTGAAAAGTAACTCAAAAATTTTTTGGATTTTTTGAAAGCCTAGAATATAAAAATAACATGAAGTGAACTTAACCTTTTGACTCCCGAGAAAGCTATTTTTGCGGCTCCGAACAAATATCGAAATTCTGTGCAATGTGTATGTTGTTTATATAAATTATAATTTAATTATATAAGTAACATAAATAATAACATATACATTTTTTGAGAAAAAAAGGATACTATTTTAATGAAAAAATGCTGGCAATCTAAAGGTTAAGAGCTCCAGCTTGCTAACGGCGTTAGTAAAAGAATAATTGCTGACGGAGGGTTAATAACATAACAAAATTGTTCAATAAAGCTTGCAACATTTTTGTACTTGTAATACCTATGAGACTTGTACCTATATACAGTGTAATTGTGTATTTTTTAGGTTTCCAGCTTATCTTGGCATTAAAAACATTTGACCTAGTAATGATAATGAAAACGACAACTGTGACAAGCGCTCTAATGTTAGAGATGTTTTTCTACAGTATTGTGGGCGATTATCTGAAGTGTCAAATGGAAGAAATTGCGTACTCGATCTACAGCTGCAATTGGTACAACTTTCCATTGAATTTAATGAGAAATGTAGTGTTCGTCATTATGCGGTCGCAACAACCTGTTCAGTTCGTAGCCGGCAGATTTTTCGTCATAAACTTAGAGAGTTTTATGACCATATTAAAAAGCTCGCTCTCGTACTTATCCGTCCTGAGGGTAATGGTGGACGCGTAAGACGTAGGTATTTGTTGAAAAACTCAAAAAGATAACATTGTACACACGTAGGCAATATTATTTTGTAAAATTGTTACAAAACACAATGATGCAGAATATGCTTGTAATTCAAAATTTAAATAAAATTAAATTCTTTATCACGTTTGTAAATATATTATACATCACAGTAACATATCACTTAAACAAATTTTGCTACGACGTGTGATTTGCAATTGCCAAAATGCGATTGCTGCATACAATTTGTTAACTGTCAAGTAAGCAATATATCAATAACTTATCAACAGATTCAAGTAGAATATTGCGGCAGATTGCCATTAATTACATTCACATTAAACTTGTGTTATTAGCAGATTTTGGCAGTACAGTCCGACAGATTGCAAACAATTTGCATACATAAAATGTATTTGAACAATTTTGATGTCACTAACAACACTTGTGAGTTTTAAGAAACTGATGTACTAAATTCCAAATTAATTAAACGTACCTTTGATAAAAAAAATAGTATTAAAATAAAAGGAGTATTGCATTGCAACACGATCAATGACGAATGATAACTGAAGATTGTGCATCGGAAAGAAAATGAAACATCGACCCTCCTATTCCGGTTTAGCTATATTCTGCTTCCAAATATAAAAAATTGTTTCTTCTAGTTTATAAAATAACTGTGTTTTGGAAAATAACAAGGTACATTAGCAAATGTTAAATTTACATAGTAAGTGTTCAATTGCGCAACTTGAATGAAATATGAACGTGAAAGCGAACCATCGTCGATGATCGACTCATATTACGGACAAAAAGATATCATTGAATATCGTGCAACGTGGCAGCTCTACAATATGACTACGAAAATATCATGGAATGACGATGTGGCATACGCTATGACTCCCCTCAAACTCTTAACTCTACCATTAGGCATTTGGCCATTACAAGAATATGATATATTTTCTTTAGTCCGTTCTATCGTGTGCGGCATCGGTATGGTACGTTCTCAATTTTCATATTTCATATCGCAATAAAATTTCTCTGCCACTTGTATATTCGACGTATCAAGTTCGACAGTGAGGTGTTCAGTTCAGCATCAGTAGTAACGAAAAACAACAGTAAAGCTTTATAATAAACAGTCCTTCCTGTCTGTGTAGACCGCGATGATGATCACGTTGTTCCTCGAACTCAATTTCGGTAGTGGTGATGCGTACATAAAAGTCGATGGTCTTATGATCATGGTGTGCAACGTTCTCGCTGTACTAAAATTATTGTCATTCCGCTTATACGCTGACAATCTGACTCGCAATTATTCTTCTGCTGTGAACGATTATCATGCAATCGACACTGAGGAGAAGCACACGATCATGCGGCGGCACGCTTACATGGGAAGGATGATTTGCTATAGTACTCTATTTTTTGCCTATTTAGCTTCAACAATTTTCATGCTGGTGCCTATGATAGCAGACAATAAGAACGTCCAAGTTAATGTATCCATTAAGAATCAAGCATTGGAATTACCCGTGCCTTTAACACTTTTAGAAGACTTGCATATGCCTACGAGTTTATTCTGGTTGATGTCTACGATACAATATGTTATATTGATGATCAATTGCACCAGTAATTGTGGTAATAAATTAATTATTAATATTGAGCAGATTTGCATTAACTATAAAATTTTAATTTATTTTTAACATTTTACTTTGGCAAAATTTTATTTTACTAAAATTAAGCAACATTAATAAAATTCCCAATTTTTCCATTTTTACATTCAGCAATTTTATTAAGTATTAGCAGTTATTTAGTTTTACAAACTATAAAACTTGACGTCTAGTTAAGATATTTATTTTTATCAGTATTAAATATTGGATTTTTATATATAAGTTCTTAAATAGATGTTCTTGTTTAATATATGATTATAGCCGTCTTAATTGCAAAATGCGATAACATTTTGATTTCTTTTATACCACTCCTGCTTGATAATCTTTTTATTATTATCAACTTTCAATCCAAATAATTATATTAACGCAAGACTAAAATATATTTGTAAAGGAAATGATTCACTTTTTCTCGCAATTACTCTTCATATTTGCGGACAAATGGAAATCCTAAAAATTGAATTGTTCAATTACGGCGTTAAAAGCAAAGACATAAATGAAGATTTTTCAGTATTGGCATCAAGACATCATTATCTAATAGAGCATGCGGAACTTCTGGTAGACACAATAAGTTTCGTTTTGCTTGTGCAAATGCTGTTTAGTTCTATTCTTATTTGCTTAATGGGTAAATATCTTTCGATTTCAATACTTCTTCGATTGTGTGATATAAGCATTATTATACCGTTAGAATAGTAAATTTGTAATAAAAACAAAACTACGTAACAAAGCTATAATTTTATCAAATATGTCCACAAGATCTTTTCTGATCCTATACAGGGTGTTATCTAAGTAAGTACACAAACTTGAAAGAGTTTTTTCTTGGCTTATTTTAAAAAGAAAAGGTTGTACATGTATCCTAAACTGCTTTGTTTTCAAAATACAGGGTGTCAAAGATGCACACGCTGGTGGACCTGAAAATGTTTTATCAGTACTAGAAAATAGTTCTCAATACCAAATGTACACATATCAAATTTGAATAAGACATCTTTAAACGTTTTCCAGATTTTCGAAACTTTCATTTTTTTCCCACAATTTTGACACCCTGCATTTTGAAAACGAAGCAGTTTAAAACATATTTTATAAAACTTTTTCTTCCTAAAATAAACCAAGGAATATTCCCTTCAAGTTTGTGTACTTACTTAGGTAACACTCTGCATATCCGGTGTGACATTTTAATAACATAATAAAATTATACTATAAAGCTGTCAAAATTATTGTGTCAGTATAATGCTTTAAAGTTGACTTCTGCATGCAGTGTAATTGTGTGATTTCAGGTTTCCAACTTATTACAGCATTGAAAGCACATGACGCAGGCATGGTAACTAAAACTACAACGGCGTTGAGCGCTTTCCTGTTACAGTTATTTTTCTATAGTTTTGTGGGCGATTATCTGAAATGCCAAATGGAAGAAGTTGCGTACTCAATCTTCAGCTGCAATTGGTACAATTTGCCATCGAAATTGATGAAGAATGTTTTGTTCGTCATCGTACGATCGCAGCAACCTGTTCAGCTATTAGCTGGTAGATTTTTTGCCGTAAACATCAAGACTTATATGACTATATTAAAAAGCTCGCTTTCGTATTTGTCTGTCCTACGAGTGATGATGGACGCGTAAGGTTTCTGTTGAGAGAAAAACTCGAAAAGATAACATTTGTATACACACACGTAAGCAATTGGCCGCGTTCAGCAGACACAACTGTTGAGTTCGTCTTATCAACGCTCTGCGTTGCGTGATTGGTTCTAAAAGTAAGAGCCACGCACGTTCGACTGACTCCACGGCTTGGTTTCCTAAACGCGCCCAATATCATTTTGTTACAAAACACGATGATGAATATGTTTCGAATTGAATAATCAAAAAATAAAATTAAATTCTTTATTACATTTGTAAACATATTGTATATCACTCTAACACACCATTTTAAGAAGTTTTGCAATAATGCGTGACTCACGATTGCGTAAATGCAACCGTTGCATATAATTCGATAACAACAAAATATTCGCAATATATGCTAGCAACTTGCCAATATTGAAACAAATTATTACAGCAGAGCAACTGCATCTGCATTAAACTCATATTCCACTAATAGATTTTGTCATTATATAGTCTGACAGCAGATTGCTGCCAGAAATCGAGTAGAATTATTAATCATTTCGTAACCGTCGTTTTGTAACGTATTTAAATTAAATAAATGGATAATTAACTTATAAAGACTCTCAATAATGAAATTAACAAATAACAAAGAAAGGTGGGCTTTGAGTATCAAACGCAGTTAACTGTGCGTGAGTTAACGTTATGTAAACTTTAATTGCTAATACGATACAGTTTATATAGGTGAGCACTCTTAAATATAGAATAGACCAAAGACGCACAGTAATTTCTACGAGGCAATATAAAATTTTACTAATGTTCATAGTCTCTGCAAATGTAAATGGAAATGGAAATTAAAGTTGGATCATAACTGACAAAGAGAAGTGAAGTCAATTGAATCAATCTAAAAAAATGTGAAATTGATAAATTAAAGCCGTGGTAAAGACATCAAAAAGTAAGATTTAAAGCGGACGTAGTTAATATACAATTGAAAGACAATAATAAAATCAAAAGACGAACGTGATTTTAAGTGACAACTGATTCGTCCGGCTGACAAACACTAACAAATGATTTAAATAGTTCAGATACTGCTCGATTTTCGCAGTCGATCTGTTATCATATTTTGCTAACAAATTCTGTTATGTTTTTATTGTTAGTATTTTATTTCTGGACATTTCTCTTCTGGAATGTAAAGTACATTTTTTAAATTTTTTCTCTTGATTTTGTTTTCTCTTATTTCTTTGAATGATAATCCAAAAGCTGAAAATAAAAGCTGAAAATAAAAGCTGAAAATAAAAGCTGAAAATAAAGGCTGATAATAAAGGCTGATAATAAATGCTGAAAATAATGAGACGCCTCCCTTTTTTCCGAGGGCATCTCTTTCATTAATATTTAATTACTTATATTATATTACATTACATGTTACCAACTTGTTAATATTATAATTGTATTACTGTGTTTTATAAAACTTTATATCGAAAGAAAAGGACCCACTTTTACCGGACATCGTTGCAATTAAATGTACTTTGGCTAAACTTGGCCTAGATTTTTTTTTTTTTTTAATTAAGTTACACTTTCAATTTTATAGCCAAACTTTCATCCGATAAAAATGGGACCTGTAAAGGCCCTCCACCACCCCCGCCGATTCCAATCAGCGGTCCTCATTTCCCTAGATATAAGCTTTATATTTTTTGTTTTTACTTTTTTTATACAATTTCTATTTTTTACACAAGTTTATGCCAAAATCTAATACACGTTAAAAAGCAATAAAACAATACAAAATTACATAGGTAGTATAAGATAAAATTGTGTACATATAAGATATCTTATTAATTCCGGATTACACAAAATAAATGTGTATCTATATTAACACATTGTCCGTAATTTATAGCAATATAACTCAACAGTATTGATAAATGACATCTATAGTTACGCAACATTTATTATCAATTATAAATTTAAAATTATGTAGCTTACAAAATTTTACGTAGTGCAAGCAACCGCACTCAGAAAATTATTAAATTTTACAATTACCCTTCTTCAATCATAGAAAAAAATATTCCCAATACTGGCATGTTTGACAATATTTTGGAAAAAAGAATTTTGTAGTAAATATTATTACGCGAAAATTCAAGTAAAACTTCAGGTTAAGCCAATGATCAAATAAGGTAAATCACGATCAAACATTTGGCAATAAATCGATCCACAATACTTGCGATACCTATAATTGTGATATTCGTAATTTCTATAATATATCACTGATACACAATGCAAGTCCTTCATACTTATTTTTATTTTACGCGATAATGAATATAACTTCAGAAGCATTAAGCGTTTACGTACGTGTCTTTTATGTCCATTTCTACTAATGTAGATTAACTTTAATCGCGGTTTAACTTACTTTTCATCTTTTTCTAGTTCTTAAAATTAGGGAAAGATAAAAGATAAATTAAACCAAGATCAAAGCATGATATTACACATATTTATTTAGAATTACATATTTTTACTTAATTTAAATTAAAAAATTTAATTCTAAATAAATATGTGTATTATATTAAGTAAATAAGCTATTGGCAGCAATCTAAATAAATATTTGTTTGGATCTAAATATTTTTTTTCTCAGTGAAGAAATTGCGACAATGACCGTTTTTGTCACGTTTAAGGAAGGATAACAAACTCAACAATTTGGCCAGATCAAGGCTGGATTCGGGGAGCGCGCTATTAGCGCTATTTGCTTATTTTATCCTTGTTTTACACTTGATGAGCGATAAAGATAGAATGATGCAATAGCGCTAATAGCGCGCTCCCCGAATGCAGCCCAAGATCCCTTCGCCGAGTGGCACGCTGGTTAGCAACCAACGCAGAAAAAAACGATCTTTATAGTGACGAGCGACCTGAATTTTTGTTATTTATTAATGGGAGAACATTTAATGAGAAAAATAAAATCTTCTCTAAGAATGTAATAATTAATTCAGCGATTGTGAAACATGTGGTTAGTCGTCATGGACTCATTGCCAAAACTACTGCTTTCGGAAACCACTAAGAAAATCTGGGATTAATTTTGCTCCTGCAACGATAGCCCCCAATTTTCAATGAGACTCCGAACTAGTTGCAGATAGTTCCTTCGGAAATCGATGAGAAGTTACTCATCACGACAAAGATCATTCCGATTCTACGCCGGTATACGAACCACAGATTCGTTCGAGTTCACCTGACGTGAGGGACAGCGATAAAGCCCATCGCCGAGACAGCAATCCCAACTACAAACATGAAAAAAACGCGATGTTCGCAATGGCCTTTCACAAATATTTGCCGCGAAAAGAAATGTAAGAAATTAATTTAAAACTAAAAAGAATTTAAGAAATTAATTTAGTACTAAATTAATTTCCTAAATTAGTAAATTTAGGACTAAGCAATTTTACGACTTTTGAAGTACCTGACGATAATGCTCCTGAATCTCGAAATTATTTTCTAGAATACAATATTTGTGATACATTCGATCGTGACTCAATAAAATGCAGATATCAAATTTCACGAGTAGAAAGTTAACATTCGATCACTAGCTTAGCATGAAATCTTTGTATTTTTATTTGAAAAATTCTTATTATAGTACATTATAAAAATTGGCGATAACTTTGAACGCTATTAAAGAAGGATAAAATAAAAAATTTAAAAAGAAAATATTTTATTATGTTCTAATTTAGAAAATTTCGTGTTATATACGCGTTTCGATTTTGTGTAATCCAGATTACACAATTTAAACATACACTTTTCTACAATTACATTTTACAATTTCATATAACAGGATAATAATGTTTGTACATGATTCTGAACCTTATATTATTGTATTTCTACACTCTCAGAAAAGAATTCTAGATACAATACTATTAGGATCGAAATAGGGCCAATCATATTTTAATCTTAAATAGAAGAATTCTTAAATTCTATCTAGACTTCTATTAGATAGTATATTGTTTATCTTAAATAGAGGAATTCTTAAATCTAGAATAAAATAATCTTGATGCTATCCCTCTAATTTTCTCAGAATTATTCTAGATTCAAGAATTCCTCTATTTAAGATTAAAATATTCTTCTTTTAATACTAAATATGATTGGCCCTATTTTTCGATCCTAATAGTATTGTATCTAGAATTTTTTTCTGAGAATGTATAAAAATAAATACAAATTTCTTAAAATTATAAAGCACATTAATTTGTTTCATTATCGAATTACCCCTCCCTCATCCCTACCTATTCGTATCCCTACCTACCCAATTTTTATCTAGTTTTTACCCACATCCCTACCTACCAATTTTTTAAATCTATTTTTTACCCATATTTCTATCTATTTACGATGCCTAATGCCTTTCCCAGGCCTCCACTTTCTCTCACGCTGCTCGGGGTGTCCTTCGTGTTCCCTCGATGCGAAGCTGATGCTCCTTTCTGCGCGCGCGTGGATATTTTCTGTAACATAAAAATAATCGAATCGATTAAATAATTGTCACGCGCATTGAACATTTTATTCGTTATTCAGATTAATAACATTCAATTTACTTCATCGCAAAAAGGTCTCTACCTTAGAATCAACTTGAATCAAATTTTTCAAATTATTTCTTTTTACTAATTTATATTTTGAAACACGGTTTAATGTAGTAACTAAATAAAAACAAACGAAAAAAAAGATTCTATAATATCTTTAAAAAAAATAAAAAATAACACTTACCAGAAGTGTTAGTACGCCGATGCCCGATGCCTATCCTAGGCCTCCTCCTCCTTTCAGGCTACTCGGGATATCAGCTTCGCAGGATTTTTTCGCTGCTCCGATGTCACCTTCTGCGTCGTTATTTTCTGAAATACTCAAATGAACAATTCGATTAAGTAAAAACAGAAGAGATAAAACATTTTTGGACATAAATAACATAGTACGTAAAAACCAATTACACTCACCACTTTTTTCCTGCTGTTCCGGCCGCAAAATCCATCTCCACCTTCGGGTCAGATAGGAGTCTCGAGCCACATTGAGACTCGTGACAATGCAGTGTGACTTCATCCATTAAGCAAGAAAAATCAAGAAGCCATTCCGGCTATATTGCATTAATTTTACGACGTTGTTGCAATATAGTCGAAATGTTTCTTGACCTTTCTCGCTTAATGGAAATGTAATTGCTGAAA